AAGGTAGATCTTGCTCTACGCCCTATGGACACTGAACGTCAAGGACAGCAACCGCTGACGGCACAGAATCCTCATCTAGAAAATCCACAGATGTTGGAACAACAGGTTCGTCAGAAACATGAGAAGTGAGTGGAGAAGGAAGAGGAGCTCGAGAAAGGGCATCAGCATCAGCCATAGAACTCCCTGGGCAATGAACAACATCGAAATCATATATCTGAAGCTTCAAAGCCCATCGAGCCGTACGACCAACCAGGTTCTTCCGCTTCAATAATGAAGTAACAGTAGCATGGTCACCTTCAAGTAACGTCTGAGAACCATGTAGATAGGCATGAAGTTTCTCGAAACCCCAGACTGCTGCTAAACACTCCTTCTCCGTCGTGGAGTAGTTGATCTCCGCTGGTTGTAATGTACGGCTTATGTATGCAATGGGATGGCGCTGACCAGGCACACTCAAGCTGTCTTGCATCAACACACCTCCAAGACCAATGTCAGAAGCATCCACGCGCAAAATAAAAGGTCGAGTGTAGTCAGGATATGCCAAAACCGGAGGAGTCGTCAATAGCTCTTTGAGATTCACGAACACCCGCTCACAATCGGGAGACCAGATGAAAGATGACGTTGATGACTTCAGCAACGCTCGCAATGGTGTAGTGCGATCGGAAAGATGATCCACAAAACGACCGAGATACTGCACCTTACCCAAAAAGCGCTGCACATCATTCACACACTTCGGAGTAGGGAACTTTAGAACAGCCACAAGTTTGTCAGGATCAACTTGCAAACCCTCACGAGAAATACGGTACCCAAGATAAGTTGTGTCCTTGGACCCAAACACGCACTTCGACCGCTTCAGCTTTAAACCAACGTCACGTAGCCAATCCAACACTTTACAAATATCACGAACATGCTCCTCCCACGTCCCCTCCGAGTGGATCAAGACATCATCAATGAAGTCAGCCGTCACCTCCAGCATATCGCAAAGAACCTCATCCATCATTCGCTGAAAAGTTGCTGGAGCATTGTTCAAACCAAACGGCATCACCAAAAACTCGTACAAACCAAATGGTGTACGAAAAGCAATCTTAGGAATATCGTCTTTAGCCATTGGTACTTGCCAATACCCAGAAGCAAGATCTAGCTTGGTGAACCAACGACTTCGCCCCAGACGATCCAAGAGATCAGCAGTGTGAGGAAGAGGGTACACGTCCGGGATCGTCACGTCATTTAACGGACGATAGTGGATGCAGAAACAAATACTCCCATCAGGCTTCGTCACAAGATGAGGTTCACATGCCCAAGGACTCCATGACTTCCAAATAACACCCTTCTCCAACATCTCCTTGACGTTTGCACGTAAAATCTTGATCTCCTTGGGTGACCGACGACGAACAAGAACCTTGATTGGACGAGCATCCCCGGTTGGAATGGGATGACATATGGCAATCTTGGCCCCAGACGATAGGTCAAATTCAAAGAGATCAGAATACTCCTTCATGAGCTAGTCAACAGCTGCAACACAAAGATCATCGGAGGGATCGGAAAAGGGAAGAGCAGAACAAGATGGAAACACAAGAGGAAATAATGGGGGAACAAAAGTAATGGAAGCAGAGGTAGAAGTAGAGGGACGAAGAGGTACGGAAGTGAGAGGAATGGATGAAACATAAGGAAGTATGAGACAAGGGGGAAAAGCCTCAAAGTCACACTTGGCATGATTGTGCTGCAACCAATCCATACCAAGAATGAGGTCAAAAGCTTGACTTGGCACCACCCGCAACGACTGCAACTCAATCTCGAGATCACCCACACGCACAACCAGGTCCGCCTCATCTCGTGCACATGCATGTGTACGGCCGTTGCCATAAAGAATGAAAACTGGATCCGCCGCACGACGCAAGTGTAGACGACAACGTGTGGCAACAGGTCGAGCAATAGAAGATAAACTCGAACCTGTATCAACCAACACGGAGAGAAGAATAGAAGACCTCTTGTTATAAAAACGAGCTTGGAAAGTAAACACTGGATGAACCGGTGCCGAGTGAACCCCTTGATGATACTCCCGAAAGAAAGATGGAGGGGTCACTAACTTATTCGCGCAAGGTCCCTCCATTACTCGCGCGACTCCTCGTTTCCCGAATGCACCCCGGTATCCAAACCTTCCACCGCAGCAGCACCAACGAGACGTTGCTGACGCCAAGGTCTCCACCCAGGAAATGGAGGTCGCCAATTCGGAAAGTGCCGACAACGCCGATAAGTATGACCAACTTCATCACACGCCCAGCAACGAACGTCACGGCCACGACCACGTCCTCGCCCTTGTCCTTGGACTCGAGTAGCAGCAGCATCAACCTCCATGGGAACAGGACCATCACTCATAGGAAGTGGAGCTGAAGGACGTGTAGCAAGAAGTGGAAGAGGCGACGTCTCATAACGTTGTGCCAAGCGAAGAGCATCGTCAAGAGTGGCAGGAGCAAGTGCATGCACAAGTCCGACAAGATCTTGACAAAGTGCTGGCCACAGCATTCCTAGCTTGATCCGCTCCGACATATTTGGCTCCGCACGAAGCAAAAGACTTCGGAAACAAATGCCAAATTGCATCACCGACTCAGATGGCCCTTGGCGAAGACGATGCAATTGTTAGAAGGCATCATCACAATCGTCGGCGTGTCCAAAGGCGCGTTTGAAGATGTCCGGAAGAACACTCCAATCGCCACGAGTAGCTGCGCTCAATCCATTGTACCACTGCAATGTCATCCCTTGAAGACATGTGGGGAACTCACGCAAACGTCGAGCATCATCCCAAGAATGATATGTGGCAATCACCGTGAAGTGATCGAACCAATGGTACACATCATCCCCAGGATTCCCACGAAAGAACTCCAGCCGAATGCGAGGTTTAGCACCAAAAGCAGGAGGAGTTGTACCATGTGCCGTGAATGCCGCCATCAACTGAGTTTGGTTGTTCAATTGCAAGCGCATAGCATCAAACAATTGAACCAACTGCTGCTCTAGAGTCAAAGGAGGAGATTGCGGATCGGCCATGAAAATGAATGAGAAAGAAAGAGCAAAAGAAGAGAAATGACAAAAAGCTGGAAAGAAATGGTAGATCTAGACATTGCAAAAAGCTAGATCTAAACCAAAATCCTGAAAGGAAAGAACAAAAGAAAGGAAATGGAAAAAGCTAGATCTAGACAATGCAAAAGCTAGATCTAAACCGAAATCCCAAATCCAAACACTCCCCAGGGACAATCAAAAGTGCCCCTCATCTCCACCAATGTGAGTGCATGGAATATGAAAAGGGAATACAGAAATGTGCATCAATTAGCCCAAAAACCCTAGCTTATATACAAGAGCGAGTGGTCCGGATTGAAATCAATCCGACGGCTACCAAAATCCACTATGCTAATATTAGTATACGGCATCGTAGCCGTACACTTGGCCCTCACATAGTTGATTATTTTATTCATAAAGCATTAAAATAAAGTTATTCACAAAAAAAATATTCACTCTCTTATGGGGTAACCCGTGAAATAAACTTTAAATCTCTACCAGTTTTGGAATTTGATCTGATAATACCACCAAAGACATCCATAATCTATCAACTCAACAAAATGGGCTTTAGAATTGCAGATCATTTCGTTTCATTCACTAAAGAGTGAAGCACAAAAGACTACATTGCAGACATTCACAAAGCCAATTAACAAAGCAGCAGCACCACTTTTTGTTGAAATTATATTGCCACCATCCACTACAATCGTAGGTCTTACTTTTGAACACATTAGAAAGGCCACACATTCAGAAATCGTTGAAAGGCTAGCCATGGCGGGGAATTCTTGTGCAAGGCTCCATAACAGAGTTGTTTCCAGATTCTCATAGGACCTTCGAGCATCAAGGAAAATCATGTGGCAGCCTTCTTGAGAAAGGTATCTCACAGTGGCATGGTGGACTTTCCAGTGCCGGCTGGTCTGATAATATACCGAAATCCATACATATGTGTTGCCTTGCCTCTCATCGCGACTCAGAAATTACACCCTCTTCCAGTGCTACTTATGGGCATCTGCAGATGAAATCAATCAGCCTTCCTTGCCCATACAATGGCAAGGGATTGAGCATGGGCCAATCTTAAGGATCCTAGCGAAGAAATCCAGAAAAAAATCACTTTTTCTTTTCCGTGCTAGAACTCATCTCTTACCTTGGAGGTGAGGATTGTGGCGTCTTGTTCCAAGAAGAGAGTCATGTGGCTCATGAGATTGAAGCATTCGGTGAGCTGATCATCACACTTCCCAGCTCGCCAAAGCTGCTAATGTGATTGATCACCTTCTGGAACGCCTTGGTGTTAAGCGTGATCCCATCACTCACTCCCCCAAAATCGGCAATGGAGAAAACGCACAGCTGCGCCATCGGTAGCCTCGGGGCCAGCCTGCTCTCCACGCTGTTGCATCCCTAGATAGCCAGCGAGCAATCACCCAACAGAAACAGTGATGGCAATGCATTTTTCATGGTGCTTTCTTCACTCGACAGTCAACACTTTGCATGGATGCTGCAACACCTCATTCCACCGCCAGGAGGATGATCGATCCTGCTCCAGTTGCCAGATCTTCCGCGAGGCCTTGGGCTACTGCTACTGCTTGAGCCCGATGACGAGCGCAGTTACAGTCAACACATTTCTATGTGACGTGTGTCGCAGCACGTTCCTCTCCCGCTCCATGCAGCTTGGCCGCCTCCCATTGGCTGAGAGCAAACATTAGTGCAATCATTCGCAAACACGTGGTTAAAGAAATAACCCTTTTACAGTTACCCCGCCCCCCCCCCCCATCGGACGGTTGCGATTGGCTGCATCCAGCAGCCCAGAAAGTTCGGTAACTGATAGATATGTAGGATATTCGATAATCTTGAGTGTCTAGTATTCCACTAAGGTAACGTGTTTGATTTGGCTTCCACTTCTTCAGAGTTTATAACAATTTCCTGACGTCCAATCCATCTTCCTGCCACCTTTATAAATCGGTGTCAATCCTCCCCAAAGAACCAGCAATGGATCTCCGACTCCAAGCACTGCTTGCGCTGCTACTCATCGTCGCGGCCTCCGCCGAAGATTGTGGCCGTCAGGCCGGGGGAAGAACTTGCCCACCCGGAATTTGCTGCAGCAAATGGGGGTGGTGTGGAGTCACCCCGGATCACTGCGGCCATGACTGCCAGAGCCAGTGTGGCGGATCAACCCCCCCAGGTGACGGCATTGGGTCGATCATCACGTCCTCGATCTTCGAGGACCTGCTCAAGCACCGCAGGGATTCCGGCTGCGCTGGCGGCTTCTACACTTACACCGCCTTCATCACCGCCGCGAGGTCCTTCCCGAGCTTTGGAAACGAGGGATCGCTGGAGGAGAGGAAGCGAGAGCTGGCCGCGTTCTTGGCACAGACATCCAAGGAGACCACGGGTAAGTAAGAATGATCGAGAGATCGATCATGCCACCACTCTGTTGGCTTCCAGAGCTTTGAGTTCTCGAATTTCTTGGAATTCCAGGGGGATGGGCGACTGCTCCAGATGGGCCATATCGCTGGGGCTATTGCTTCGTCGAGGAGAGGAACAAGGACACTTACTGTCAAGCATCGCAGCAATGGCCCTGCAATGGGGGCAAGAGATACTTTGGTCGAGGACCCATCCAGCTGACATGGTAGTACCAAAATCTCTGTTCTTGCTTTTTTTTTCTTGCGTTCTCGTGTGGAGTTTCAAGCGAATTTCTCTTGGTTGGAGAGTTTGACTTGATATGACAATGTTCTTGCGCTTGGATAGAGCTACTCATCTCTAGATTGTCATTTCTTGGCAGTGCCACTTACAAATCTTCTCTCTGTGGCAGGAATTTCAACTATGGGCTGGCCGGATCACAGCTTGGCTTCGATGGGATCAACGATCCAGACATTGTTTCGAGAGATCCGGTGGTTTCCTTCAAGACGGCGATCTGGTTCTGGATGACTGCGCAGAACCCCAAGCCTTCGTGTCACGACGTCATTCTCGGGAAGTGGAGGCCATCTGGCGCGGACTTGGCCGCTGGGAGAACCGCGAGCTACGGGACGGTGACCAACATCATCAATGGCGGACTTGAGTGTGGGATAGGCGAGGATCCCCGTGTCAAGGATCGCATTGGCTTCTTCCAGAGCTACTGCCAGGTCTTGGGGATCAATCCAGGATCAAACCTTGACTGCTACAACCAGCGGCCTTTCACACAGCTGCTGATGGAGAAAGCAAGCCAGTGATAAAATCTACAGGAATAAGAACTTGCAAAGAATAAGGACCTAACTCTCAAGATGCAAACTGGAAAAACTTGAAATGTGCTCCTTCATCTCGCCCTTTCAGCTCTCGAAATCTTCTCTAAAAGCCCGCGAAGATTTGCTTTGCTGCTCGTCAACCCTGCGAAATACAAAGAAACAACGCATTAGAGAGACGATAGAGGTAGTGATCGATTGATGGTTTTTCCAATCACTGTACGAAATGAAATGAGACAGTAAAACTCGTGCACAGGTAAAGGTTAATGCATAGAAGGAGAAAGACAACACTCTACCTGGAAGCTATCCACAGTGCTCCTATAATCCACAATGCTCCACACGGGCAAAATCTTGTGCTCCATCGACGCATATTTGCGAAACTTTCTCTGGAAAGAGAGCGAGGAACAAGGATTAAATCCAGAGGAAAACCAGCTAGTACCTGGAGCTTTAGACCCACCAACGGTCTAGATCTGCCCAGCCCGCAGGATCCGACGCCCGAAATTCAATCTCCCGGCTCAGCCGCTCCGCGCGCTCGCTGTCGTCGTGGGTCTGGCAAGCTCCGAACACCGCCGTGAGCGCCACCCTGTTCTTCCCCAGCGGCATGGATCTCGCCAGCTTCTCCGCCTCCTCCAGCCACCCAGCTCGCCCCAGGAGATCCACCAAGCAATCCAGATGCTGGACAGAGCTCTCAATCCCGTGATCGCCCACCATAGCCAGAAAGTAGCGCCGGCCTTCCTCCACCATCCCAGAGTGGCTGCAAGCGAAGAGGATGGTGATGAAAGTCACGTCGTCCGGTTTGATCCCTTCCAAGTCCATCCGCTGGTAGAGCTCGAGAGCTCGCTGGCTATGGCTGTGCTGAGCGAAAGCCGAGATGATAGCAGTCCAGGAGATAAGCGTCGCCGCTGCCATCCTTCCAAAAACTCTGCTTGCCTCCGCCAGGCTCCCGGACTGGCCGTAGAAAGTTATTAGCGCGTTGGACACCGAGGTGCTCGCTTCTAGTCCCTCCTCAACAATCCTGGAGTGGATCATCCTCCCTCTGGCCAGGGAGTTTTGATCCATGCACACCGCCACCAGCCGCATGAACGTTGTCTCGTCGCCTCTCACTCCTTCTAGCTCCATCCTCCAAAAGAGCTCGAAAATCTCCTCGCCGCGGCCAGCGTTCACGTAGCTCGTGAGCAGCGCGTTCCAGCTCGCCACCGTTCTCGCCGGCATCTCGTCAAAAGCCGACTTTGCTGCCTCCAAGCTCCCATACTTCCCGTAGCAGCTCACGAGACTGGTCCCAAGAACAGCATCCCTCTCCGACTCTGTCCCCGTTATACACTCGTGCAGCGTCCTTGTCTGTTCCAAGCTCGAGCAGCTGAGAAGAACCGTGGCAAAAGTCACCTCGTTCGGCCTCACTCCATCCAAATCCATGCTCCGGAACAGCTTCATTGCTTGATCCGAGAGACCCTCCTGCTGATAAGCCGAGATCATGGCTGTCCACGCCACCACGTCCCGGCTGGAAATCTTCTCAAACATCCTCTTGGCGTCGACGAGGCTCCCGCAGCGAGAGTACATGTCTAGAACGGCGGTCGCGACAACGGGACTGCTACTCTCCATTCCCAGTGACTTCGCCACCCCGTGCACCACTCTCCCATCTCCAAAATTCTTGGAGAAGCTACACGCATCCAAGCAGTTGACGAGCGTGGCATGGTTGGGAGCCACGCCTTCGGCGAGCATTGCTCTGAACAGCAGCAGCCCCTCGTCTGCGAGCTCGTGCTGCGTGAGAGACGAGATCACGACGCTCCACGAGACGACGTCCTTGCGTGGGATCCGATCGAAAGCTTGTCTGGCGGAGCTCGGATCTCCACACTTGCTAAACATGTTGGCGATGGAGTTCCCGACGATGGTGTAGCAGTCGTAGCCGCTCTCGTAGACATGCTCGACCAAGGCTTCTCGCTCCAGAAAACTTGGAAAGCTGCAGCAGGCCTCGCATATAGCCACGAAAGTCACCTCGTTCGGCTTCACACCGTCCAGGCTCATCCCGTGATACATGCTCCAAGCTTGCCGGCCGTGTCCTCCCTGGGCATACGCTGTGATCATAGCACTCCAAGTGATCACATCCCTCTCCGCCATCCCGTCGAATACTGCTCTTGCTTCTCTCACCCGCCCATATTTCCCATACATGTTGACGAGAGCTGTCTGGAGAGGCCGATACGTTTCAAACGAGCTCCCAGTGATACACCCATGAACTGTTCTTCCATCGGCTAGACGATCCAAGCTCGCCGAGCAAGAGCTCAAAACCGTGATAAGCGTCACCTGGTTGGCCCTCACACCTTCCTGATTCATCCTCCGGAAGAACTGTACTGCTTCCCTGTGATCTTTGTTCTCAGCGTAGGCAGCGATGATAACTGTCCAGGAGAAGACGTTGGGCTCCTCAATCCCGTCAAAAACCTTCCTTGCGTCACTGACACTGCGACACTTCCCGTATGCTAGCACCAACATGTTCGCCAGGTGCCTGTTCTCCGGAAAACACTTGACAATGTGATTGTCAAGCCGCTTCACACCTTCCAGAGATTTACACTCGCGTAGCCTGGAGACAATGCTCGAGGGATCTAGCAGCTCCAACCCATCTTCATCTTGACTACAACGATCCTGTGATAACGCTGCAAGACCAGAAAACGAGAACCTCAGTCGCCAACTATGGACTACTTGGTGTCTCTTGAATACGAGCATAGGCCACTGACCTAGGCAGCCAAGATTCTCCTTTAAGAAAATAAAGAGTCTGCTTACTTTTTAGCAGGTTTAGGACCCACTCCTCCAGCAAGCTCGTATACTGCTACTGCCACATTTGCTGCGAGCTCGTCCGCTAGCTCTTGAGTTTCAGCTTCCGCATATACTCGCACCACGTCCTCCGTTCCAGAGGGCCTCACAAATGCCCGACCTTTGGTAAAATTCTCTGCAAAGACAGCTTAGCAAGGAGAAAAAACATATTTTGCAGAAAAGCCGGACTTACCGACTTCCTTGTCAATCGCAGTTTGGAGCTCCGCTGGCCTGGACACCTTTGTTTCGGCATTTGTCGTGGTGATGCATGTCCGGTCCTTGACTTTCACCTGAAGAAAACGAGAGAAAAATCAGCCTCTCAAAGCCTCAATCGGTAAGTTGCGACCTTCAGCTGCCTGCTTGGCACGTCCTCGTACAGAGCATCCCACTCCCGGACATCCCACGCTGAATACGTGAGGACCACCTCGACCATCAATAATCCACTGATTGCATCTCCTATAGCTTGATTTACCATCTCGCTGACTGCAAGCAATCTTTTGCAGGCTCGCAAACGACTGTTCACTGCAGTCACAAAATGCTTTTAGCTGCCAGAAAGAATATCAGCAACTTACGAATTTCACTGCTGGCGGACTCTCGCCGAAGAAAGTCCAGGAAGCGTTCGCTGAAGAGAACGGTACCGTGCCCGTTTGCTTCGAAGTACACTCCAATGTCGAGCTTCTCTGCTTCTTCATGGAGATACTTAACACCTGTCGGGGTTAAGACAACCTCAAGTCCGAGAACTTCCTGCAGATATTTGGTTGAAGATCCATTTGCATACGCTGTCTGTACTGCCCCCAAATTCACCCTTCCATACCCTGGAATTATACAGTCTTTCTCGGAACCCATTAGTGCTTCAAGTTGTTGCTTCAAGAAACGTGCGAACAGTGATAAGATCTTGTCCCCATCCAAAAGGTGGAAAATTCCATCGCCGGATACGTAAAAGTACGCCAAGCGATCTGCATCGCCATCAACAGTCACACACCTGAAAAGGAGTTAAACAACGAACAGAAACATTTAAAAGTTCACACAAATACCTTCTGTCTGAATCCGCGGAAGCAGCAAAACCTGCGGGAAGGACTTTTTCCTTCTGCACAAAATCAGCACCAACAAGATGGTTGAGCTCTCCCTCCCCAGAATTCCGCACCTCCAAATTCAAGTCCTCGATAAGCATTTGCAAATCAAGTAGCTTTCTCGCACCAACACCATTCGCACCATCGACAACTATGTCTAGGCATCGAGGTACGGCCGGCTTACGAGGATTGAGATCCAGTAGCAATCTGAAAGCAAACAAAGAGAGCTCAGTAAGCACGCATTGAAAGTTCCATCTTTACTCACTTAAAAGCTTCCGAGAGTTTGGTATAGTAAGCTAGCTCGTTTACTTGTGGCTCACCTTTGTTCGTAGCACGAACCATCCAGTGTAGCTGGGGAGTTGTCAAAACTCCCATGTTCACAGGAGCTACTCCCATCGCTTCAATTCCCTTCCATCACAAAAACAAAAGTAAGAAGAAGAAGAAGAGGACAAAGCGAGAAAAAAAACTTTAAACTGACCTTTACAGCAGCGGCAACCAAAGCCTGGCCACTCGGTCTAGTATCTCTTGCAATCAAAACTTTTCCTTTCCAATTTTCGTGGACGCTCTCGTTCTTGATAATTGTCTCCACAACCTGTGACAATTCTTCAACACAAAGAGGAAGAAAACGAAGAATCCATCGTGACTTACCTCCAAAACATCCACCGCATTGGCAATATCTTCGGCGAATGGCTCCCAATTCCTGGCGAGCATACCTCCGGACGGATCCACCATCTTAACTCCATTGTCCGTCGCCTGGTTGTGCGACGCGGTGATCACCAATCCAGTCGCCTTGCCCGTCACCAGCGACCTCAATCCAGCCAGGACCCCGGCCCGGAACGCGACCGATCCCAGCACCGACGCCTCGGTGCGAAATCCGGAAGTGCCATACGAGAATCGCAGCCCTGATCGAGCAATACATTAGAAAATCCCGCCCTCTCAACCCGACCAACCGATCGATCGATCCATCAGTAGCAAACCTGGATATTTTGGAAACGCGAGCGCGGCATTGTGGAGACGATGGCGCCATCTCTCCGCCATGCTCTAAGCTCCGCTGGCAAAACCCTAAACCTAAGCATTCGTTAAAAGAGAATAAAAGAGAATAAAATCAAAAGATCCTTTCATTCCAAAAGTTGGTGTATCAAACCTTGTCGTGCTTTAATTTAGCGACTGTATTATTAATCAAATTCCATGCCGCATTAACATAATGTTCTTGCGCAGCACGGCAGAGAAGAGCTATCCATGATTAGAGTGGGACAAAGGCCGTACCACAGAGTTCCTTTTTCTCCACCAAAAAAATGGAAAATATATCCCGTATAATCTTTTCGCCCTTCTTTACTCATTTTTTGCGCGCAGTGGCAAGTTGCGTCCCAGCGCACAGCAATTTGTCTGCTGCTAGAGTACTTGATCGTGCAAAAATTTCCACTCGCGAGCCAGAAGATCATCGATCGATGGATCCCTTCACCACTAGGTAAAATCAATCGAGCCCGGAGATTGATGATCTAAGCATTTCCTATACATCGATGCCAAATCCAGTGACGCATAACACTCGCAAGCCTTTATCCTCGTCCCGGCCAGATCTGGGCGATTAGTGATCTCAGTGCAAACAGTCCACAATACGGCCCCACCATGCCTCCAAGGGAGTGCGCAGGGGTATATCCACCGCGATCGGAATATTCCACCGCGACAGGGATATTCCCTGCTTGAGTTTGGCGGGCGCACACGGGCAAGCTCTGGTCTGGGGATCGCACCAACACGTGCAGTCGCTACCTCCGTCCAAGATCCCTTTGAATATTCACTCCTTAAGAAGATTTTTCTCTGGTCACTTTCTCTCGCGGCATGCTTTTCTTTCCACTTATCAAAACTCTTTGGAAAAGTTTGGCTATGGAGCTTTGACCCGGCGTTCCCGCCTTCCTACCGTGACGATCACTTATACAAAAATTAGGGTTTATAAAAAAAATCCATCACCCATGTTAGCCAAACCAGATGCCCGATCTGTTGCTGTCAATGACTTCTCTCTTTCTCCAATCTTATCCCTCGAGATCCGTTCGTCCCGGGGAATCGAACCCTCCCCACTCCCACCTTGCCGTACGCGTTCCAGGGGCGTACGAAACCTTGCCCCGGGTGTTCCCGCAACCCGGAACAAGGGGCATCAATCGTCCTGGAGGATGGAATCTACTCTCCATTCTCTGGCGGATTCGCTCTCGTTGTTTAACCGGGAGCTTAAAGGTGGGTGTCCAGTTAGCGCAATATTTTATTTGGTGGCCGGGCCAATCATCGTCTCTTTCCTCCATAGCGCTCTCTCTCTCTCTCTTTCTCTTCCATTCATTCTTCTTCTTCTTCTTCTTCTCCTTCCACCAGAGCGCTACTTGCAAAGCCACCTCTCAATCCCTCTTTTTTGTGACTTGGGACTGCCACTGGCGCTGGCGACCGCTGGCTGGGAGTGTGTGATTGGGATGATGACGGCAGCGATCGATGATTCGCTTGATTGGCTGCCCGATTTCCCCGAGAATCGTTCGCTACCGGGCAATGCATCATCCATCCATCGCCCTCAAGCACAAGGAGATTCTAGTGTGTTGCGTTGCGCGCGCTCATTCCTAGTTCTTCCTTGATTCTCTTCTTCCAAGAATTTCTTTCCTCGTTCTCAGCTTCGTCGTTACTGTGCTGGGCAAGTTGCAAGCTTCCAGAGCTTCGATTTCTCAGATCTTCCCACTCCCAAAATCTCTCCTTCGTTTTATCTTCTGTCGCCCTCGCCCAAGATCTTCTGGGCAGTGGTTCCCCTCAATCCCGGCAAGAACACCTCTTCCTCTATCTCCTCTCCCGCTAGATCAATCGCCCAAAGCTCGCTCGGTGTGTTCTTCCTCTTCGCTCTCCCGCTTGTGTTCTTCCCAAATTTGCCCTTTCCAATCGATTGCCCGGACAGCGATGGATACGGCAGAGTCGCGCAGGGATCTCATCGAAGATTTGGAGCAGTAAGTGTGGGAAATTTCTCTCCTGTGGAGCGATTTCTCGTGGAAGATCTCTCGTGTGTGTGTGAGTTGTGTGCCCCGTTTTCGAGTTCCGTGTGTCCGGTGTGTCCGGTGTCCCGGTGTCCGAATTTCTCTCGCTACGTAGGCCGCGGTGACAGCGACAAGCCATCGAATTCGCGCGACCGATCCCAAATCCAATCGCCGCAGCGAAGCCGCGAGAAGAAATCTCCACGCCATCGCCCACAAAACCCATGGATCGATCGATTGGAAGGCTCGCACCTTGGTAGATCTTCCAGGAAGAAGAAGGGGGCTTTTGGTTTGGGCGCACTGGAGCGATCAATCGGCCGATCGATCGACATGGGCAGCAAGCAGCAGCAGCAAAACACCCAGCACTTCCAGCGATTGGGGAATTACAATCCCCACTCCTCGCTCGCCACCGCGGCTTCTTTCAGCTCGCCCAACAAGAAATGGATGCTCAACGCCAAGAACGATGTGGTGGAAGTGGCGCCGGACCATCTCCACCACGGCTATGGAGACCAATCGCAGTTCCAAGCGATCAATCTCTCCGCCCAGCAGCAGGGATACGTGGGCGAATGTGGGCGAGGAGGAGGAGGAGGAGGGGGAGGATCTGGAGGATCAGTGTTGATGCGCTACAACTCGGCTCCGAGCTGCCTTTTCTCCGATCTCGACCAGATTGCCAGATCTCTCAACGAGGCCGCCGCCGCCAGCGCCGCCCCTAGCGCCGCCAATGCGCCGCTCTTCTCCCCCGACGTCCTCCCGCCGCTACCGTCCGCCATGGCCGCGACGAGCAAGAAAAAGATTGGCAGCCCCACGCACAGCTCCAGCCGCTACTCCGCCCAGAGCTCCACCTCCCTGGGCATGGATTTCAGCGTCATGGATCACCACCACCACCACCATCGCCAGCAGCAGAATGGATTCACGGGCTTGCTCACGGGAACATCTTCCAGCACTGCCGCCGCCATCGCCAAGAACACCACGGCGACGCCATCGCCAGCACCATCGCCAGCCAATTTGACGCGGCAGAGCAGCTCCCCCGCGAGCTTGCTGTCGCGGCTGGAGATCGATCGCCAGGGGCTGCAGCATGGTAGCAGCGAGGAGGACAGCCCGCTAGAGATGCGATCGCCCATCACCGATCAAGAGATGATGGTGGCCAGCGTCTCGGGTGCCATGGATTTGGGGGCGGTCTCTTCCGTGGATTGCGGCTTCTGGGATGGCAGCTCCGCGGCGGCAATGGCTGTCCATCCCGCCGCCGCTCACCATGCCGCGGCGCAGCAGCAGCTCCATGGCTCGGTGTTCATGGGGAATGGGAATTTGGATCAAGGCGGGCGAAAGAGAATCCGGGACGTGGACATGGACATGTTGGACGCGGCGTTGGATCACAGCAGTAGTAGCGGCGGTGGTGGCGGAGGTGGTGGCGGTGGCGGCGGCGGAGGTCATGTAAGTTCTTCAAAGTTACCTCTTTCTTCTTTGTTCTTGGAGTGGTTCTCTATAGCTTTGCTAGAATTCCTTCTTTCTTTCTCGCGAGCGTCCTTGATCGATTCGATCGGATCGATCGACGTCCATTTTTTTTTTTCTTCTTTCTTCTTCTGATGGAACTTTCATTGCTTGTTTGTTTTCTAGTCCGCTGCATGCTTGATGAAACGGGCTTGCTACTGCAAGCAAGCTCGCCGGGACTGATTGATGAAGAGAGTCGGGTTAAAAGGTTGGTTGGATCTTTCTCTCCACTTTTTTCTCCCATTTTTCCGAGACTATCTAAGTTGCTGTTTTGGTAATCTTTGTTTTTGTTCCTCATGGAAGTTTGGATTCTAACGAGCTTTGTCTCTCTCCTTTTGTTTTCCAGCAGCAGCAGCAGCAGCATCACACGTTGACACGACACTTGAGCTTGCCGATCTCGACGGGGCGATCGAGTGGCGGATTGCTAGCGGCGGAGAACTTGCTCCAGGATTCGGTGCCTTGCCGGCTTCGAGCAAAGCGAGGGTGTGCTACTCATCCACGAAGCATTGCCGAGCGTGTAAGTTGTCACACTATACGCTCTCTCTCTCTCTCTCTCTCTCTCTCTTTTCAATCGCATCGATCGCTTTTAAGTTCTCCCAAGTTTCCGAGGGATCTTCGCATGCTTTTCGATCGATCGCATAGTTTTCCCGTATAGAACTTTACTTCCAGTCAAGTCTGTTTGATCGACTCGAGTTCTTCCAGGTCCGCCGGACGAGGATTAGCGAACGCATGCGAAGGTTGCAAGAGCTAGTCCCAAACATGGACAAGGTAACTTCCTCTCCTCGATCTCGATCTTCTCATTGCTAGATCTTTTCATTCGCATCTTTGCTTTGATTTCCACGGGAGTTCTTCTATACTTTGGCTAAAGTTTCTAACAGTCTTTGGCTGTGATCCAGCAAACCAACACCTCGGACATGCTAGACGAGGCGGTGGAGTACATGAAGTTCCTCCAAAAGCAAGTAGACGTGAGTATATCCTCCTCTTCACACACATTGTTTAGTCTCATCGATTTTCCTCGTCCCAGGATCTCCAAGAATGCCGCGAGAAGTGCCAGGGACTTTGCAAGATGAGCCAGCAACAAGGCAAAAGTGCTAGCAATGGATCGCAACAATAACTCCGAAGAAATCTCCTCCTGTGCGCGAAAGAGGGAAAAAATCGAAACTTTCCTCTCTGATCGCGTGAACTCGCTGGAAAGAATTGGAACAAAGTGAAGAACGAGAAGAAGAAGAAGAAATTTGTAAGTTCGTTCCAACAGTGTAACATATATCCATCCTCTTTGGCGAGCGTTGACCAATAAAAGATTCCCCTCCCGGCCGTTGACCATCGGGCGTCCATCCCGCGTTGACCGGGATCCGACGGCTGAGCTCAGTCCGGCCTCCTTCCTAGACCGCGGAGGACCACGTCTTTGATCCTTCCTTGTCCGCGCATTGTTTCTACCGCGAATAAATGCAAAGGAAGATCTTTTCTAGTCTAGGGCTCTTGGAGCGAAGAATGCGCGTTCTTTCTTCCAATTGGGGCAAGGATTTCCTCGCCACAGGTTCGTAGAATTCACGGCTGTAGATCATAGATAGATCGACGCGCAGCGCCTGGGCAATGATTAATCAAGCGATTGATCGATAGATTGGGGGGGAATTTCTAGATCCAAGAATCCATTCCAGCGCAGCCATGAACGATCTGATGAGCCGCTCCTTCTCGGGGCCGCGGAGCTACGTGGATTTGCGCCACGATCGCGACCTGGAAGCCGGCGGCGAGACGGAGATGACAGTGGTGGACTCAGAGAGAAATCTGGCGCTCTTCCTCGAGGAGGCCAACGAGATCCAGGCCAAGATGAAGAGCGTGGAGGGATTGCTCGCGCGCCTCCAGCAGGCCAACGAGGAGAGCAAGAGCATCCACAAGGCACAGGCCGTCAAGGCAATCCGGCAACGCATGGACAAGGACGTGGAGCAGGTCCTCAAGCTCGCCAAGTCGATTAAAGCCCAGCTCGAGGAGCTCGACAAGGCCAACGCCGCCAACCGCAAGATCGCTGGATTTGGAGCCGGCACTCCCACCGATCGAACGAGAACCTCCCTGACCGCGAGCATGAGGAAGAAGCTCAAGGACATCATGGGCGATTTCCAGGAGCTCCGGCAGAGGATGAAGGGCGAGTACCGCGAGGCGATCGGTCGGCGCTACTTCACGGTCACTGGCACCGATCCGGACGAGGAGACGCTGGAGACGATGATCGAGACCGGCGAGAGCGAGACGTTCCTCCAGAGGGCGATCCAGGAGCAGGGGCGCGGCCAGGTGATGGAGACGATCCGGGAGATCCAGGAGCGGCACGATGCCGTGCGAGAGATCGAGAAGAACTTGCTGGAGCTCCACCAGATCTTTCTCGACATGGCGGTGCTGGTTGAGGCGCAGGGCGAGCAGCTCAACAGCATCGAGGATCAAGTCCACCGAGCTTCTTCGTTCGTGGCGAGAGGAACCACGAATCTCCAAGTCGCGAAGAAGCACCAGAGGAGCGCCAGGAAGTGGACTTGCATCGGGATCATCATCTTGATCATCGTGGTCATCGTGATCCTGGCACCCATCCTGGTTAGAGCCAGGAACAACAGGTCCTCGCCGTCACCATCGCCGAATCCAGTGACACCATCGCCGCCACCACCGGTGGCGCCGCCGCCACCAACTTAGCTTGCTCGATCTGGTGTAAAAAAACAACTATTTTCCGTTAAAGTTTTGATTTTGGATGCTTACCAGATGAGTTCCAGCTTTTGTTCGATCGATCCCATCCAAGATAACAATTTCTCTTTCCAGCAAAGTGCTAAAGTTTCGAGTTGCCCCACTCTCTCGTAAAGTGTTAACTTTGCTTGAAAGCCTTCCCATCGCCGCAAAGCTTCACTCGATCGATCAAACTGTTTCAAAGTGTGAGAGAGAATGGCTAGAAAAGTTTTAGATCACGATGGCGTACCTTTTCTCTTTTCTCGCTTTCTCTTTCCTTGTAAAGTCTTTCACGAGTTTGGAGCGTGAAAGCCGATAACTCCCCGCTTCTCTCCCGTGCCGAGGCAGCGCGAGCAATACGCAAGCCCGGATCCCCGGCATTCTTCACACCTACGAAAGAAGGAAGAAGAAGAGAGAGAGAGAGAAGATCAAACCATGATCGTGATGATCCAGCGGAGAACAAACCATTGCGGCCAAGCTCCATCGGGTAGCATGACGTGTTCTATACAATTGGTCCGACCTGGACGCATTGCGCTATCGTCAAAAAAAAAATTAAAACTTCCCCTTTCATGTCGCGAGATTCTTCTCTCATTTTTTTCTCTCGATCGTGAGCCTATACCTCGTCCAGCGCATCTCCAGCATTTGACCTTGCGATGGCCACGGCAAACCTCGCAGCAGGGCTGAGGAATCGGTCGCGGCTGCCGCTTGACATTGGCCTGCGAAGAAAACGAGAGATTATCGCAAGAATGCGATGGATGATCGAGCGCGCTACCTCCGTCTTGACGATTAGTACGCGCTTGGGCAATGGCACCCACGGATTGCCCATCACGGTCCAGTCCCCAGCCATCGATCACTAGAACCCTAATCTTGCCCAAATGAAGAACCCTAAATCTTAATCTTTGGGCTTACTTTAGCCCTTAATTAATCTTTCCTTTTACCTTTAAAGCTTTACAAAGCTTCCATCAATATAACACACCATTGCTTCTCCTTCTCTCCTTCGCAAGCGTCGAAAACCTTGGCTATGGTGGTGCCAAGCTTCGCGTCTCTCAATCCCTGGAGAAGCATCCTTCTCGCAAATCTAATGGCCTCTTCCACACGCCCGTTCTGGGAAAGCGCGCTCACGATCACGCTCCAGGACACAGCGTTCTTCACCGCGATCTTGTCGAAAGCCTCTCTCGCCTCCGCGCAGCAGCCACAGCTCCCATACATCTGGACGAGCGAGTTCCCGACGATGACGTTCGTATCGAGCTTCTTCTCCACGGCCTGGACGTGGATTTCTTTCCCCCGATCCAAGTCCCTGATGTTCGAGCAGGCCGCTAGAACAGCGACGTAAGTCACCTCGTTGGCTCTCGTCCCCGTCTCCTCCATCTTCCGGAACAGATCGATCGCCTCTCGAGCGCTGTCGTTGCGAGCACACGCCGTGATCATCGTCGTCCATGTCACGACGTTCTTCCTCCGGATCCCCTCGAAAACTCTCCTGGCATCGCCCAAGCTTCCACACCTCCCGTAAGAAGTGATGAGCGAGTTTGCGACGTCGGCGGAGCTGCTGCTGTATCCCAGATAGTAAGCTCGCCGGTCGAGCGAATTCACCTCCGGGAGGCTCGAGCAGGCACCGAGAGCCGCGGCTAGAGCGACGTGATCCAGCTTGATACCTTCCAAGTCCATTCTCCGGAAGATCACCAGTGCCTGCTTGAGCTGGCCGTGCCGAGAGAACGCCGAGAGCATGCTCGTCCAGAAGAGAAGACTATCGGATGGAGCTCTTTCGAAGACGGCCTTTGCGCTGTCGAGACTTCCACACTTGCTATACATGTTGATCAGCCCCGCCCCGATGCTTTCGCTGGATTCAAGCCCGCTCACGACGACGTGACCATGGATCTCTCGTCCGTCTTCGAGCAAACCAGCCTTGGCACACGCTGCTAGAGCCGAAACATACGTGATCTCGGTCCTCTCCACGCCTACAAATTCCATCTTCCAGTAGAGCTCGAGCGCCTTCTTCGTGTAGCCGTTCTGGGAGTAAGCCGCTACCATCGAGTTCCACACCGCAGGGCTGCGGTGTTTCATCGAGTTGAAGACCCGCCTCGCGTCTTCCACGCTTCCACACTGCCCATACATGCTGATGAGCGAAGTTCCCACGGCGTTTAGATCCAGCCCGAGCTCCTGGAGCTTCTCGTGGAGATTCTTCCCTTCTTCCAGCCCCTGGATCTTGGAGCAAGCACCGAAGATGGTGGCGAAGGTGATCCTGTCGCCCTCGAGACCCTGCTCGAGCATCTCCACGTAGAGCTCCACTGCCTGCTTGAGATGCCCGAGCTGGGCATAAGCTCCGATGATGGAGTTCCATGAAACCACGTCCCTCTTCTCCATGGTGTCAAACACCCAGCGCGCGTACTGGATGTTGCCACACTTGCCGTAGAGCGCGATGAGAGAGTTCTCGATCTTGGCGTTGAGCTCTAGATCCAAATCCAGCACCGCGGAGTGGAGCTTCTCCCCTTCGGCCAGAGATTTCACCGCGCAGCACGCTCGCAGCAAGCTTATGATCGTCACTTCGTCCGGCTTGGTCCCTTCCAGCTGCATCCACCGGAAGATCCCCAGCGCCTGCCAGGAATCCCCATTCTCTACGTAGGCTGCGATCATGATGCTCCACGAGTAGAGATTCTTCTCGAGGATTCTGTCGAACACCGCGCGAGCGTCGTCCAAATGCCCGCATTTGCCATACATCTGGACTGTAAGATTTCCCAGAAACGTGCCCTGGTCCTGCTCCCTCTCCCGGAGCTGGGAGTGGATGCGCTTACCTTGCGCGAGGTTCCTCGTCCGGCTACATTGCCGGAGAAGCTCCGAGTAGCGCGCGATCTCGATCTCGCTGAATTCCACATCCTCCGAGGCGGGGAGCGCAATCTCGTGCTGCTGCTGCTGCGCACGAATCGAATCGTAGAGGAATCCTCGGCGCTTGCCCTGGAAAACACCGGCATGGGGCACGAAATACGCCATAGCCGGGAAGAACCCTAAAAAATCTAATGTGACCGTTAAGTAAAGTCGTCAACTTTACCCCTCCACTTCAGTGCACAGGTTTCTCTTCGATTTCTCCTCTCTTCCATGGCGCGCGTCGGCTCCACGGTGCTGGAGCCAGAGAAAATCGGTGGCCTAGACGGAGATGGTACGACAGTGATGATCTTCGCAGAAATCGACGTTCTGGCTGATAGAGCGAGAATCAGGCCAAAGGACAGGATAGAATCACCATATCCAGCGCGTTTTCCATGGCAAGGAGATCTCCAATTGCACACACGAAGTAGACGCGTGCCAAGGTCCAGCTGATCTGCCATGTTTTTACGGTGACTGGTGTTCTTAGCAGCGGATCGTTTGATGTTGTTCTTGCCGATTGGTTTTCTGTTGCCGAAGGGGCAACTCGACTACATGATCCACGAAGAATGCGAGGTAGAAATACTGAGCATTCGGTACGCAGCCTAAGCATATAGGATATAATCCTTATATCAAGCAACAAGCTGTGAGTCCTGGCAGGGCAGCTTTCAGAGCTCCTAGGCCTAAGGCCCTAGGTCTGCGTGCATTATGTGTTCTAATGTGGAGTTGACCTTACTGCGGAAAAGCAAAGTTAATTTGCTCGTAGGCCAATGGTGGCGAATCGTAGATAGGAGACTTGAGAGAGTAGGATCTTGAGTTGCATAGAGTTGTCAAAAAAGTTTAGAAATAGTACTGAAATCTTACTGCATGAGTGTACGACCAATGGCTTTCCCCAAAAGGAAAAGATTGTACTCGTAATGGTTTGAAACGAATTGAAGGATTGTATCTACAAAAACAGCAAGCTCCCAGAAGTGCTGTGTGGGGCGAAAAAGAGCGATGATCAAACTCTGGTTTGGGAAGCACAAAGGAAAAGCTTTGCAAGATGTTCCTAAGGATTACTTAGAATGGATGGCCAAAAAAATGAGTGGTGAAAGAATTGGAATGCTTGCTAAGCAGGTTTTGGATGGAGGACCCATTAACGCTGGAAGTTGTGTCGGGCAGTCTTCTCCAATCTCTTGGATTTTCCTTCTTGGGCGCTACTCGGAGAAGCTCGAGATGGCGAGGAAGATCTTCAGGATGATGCCTGCTCTCGATCGCACCTCCGCCACAATGATGCTGTCCATATTCGCCCGTCACGAGTGCATAGAGGAGGCCAGGGATTTGTTCGACAAAATGCCAGAGAGGGACCCCATTTCTTGGAATGCAATAGTGGCTGTTACGCGACGGCACATTCTCCGACTGAGGCTCTGGGGATTTTCAATCTGGCACCGCAGTGGAGCAGGAATGCTTGCATTTCGATGATGGATGTATTCACAGAAGAGTATATGATCCCAGATGCCAAAGATCTGTTCGATTCGATGCAGCAGCAGGACGTCGTGTCGTGGACAAAGCTCTTAGGTGTTTATGCGCGATCAGGAGATATGAACAAAGCTGTCAGTGCGTTCAATCTCATGCCAGCAAGGGATGCTGTCGCGTCGACTGTGCTGCTGCGAGGATTCGTGGAGCTCAACATGATCAGCGAAGCGGAAGGCGTCTTCCAGGCGATGCCGGAGAAAGACATCCATGCACACACAGTTCTCGTTATGGCTTCTGCTGAGGTGGGAGCGGCTACTAGCTTGCAAATGGAGGAGGCCAGCAAGGCGGTCCTCATGGAAAAGGATCCTATAGCGTGGAATGCGTTGATTGCAGCAAATACTAGGCAAGGGGATCTGCGGTATGCGCTGAAGCTGTTCGAGTCTATGCAGCTCTATGGCGTAAATCCAGATGGTGCAACCATGATATGTCTTCTGCAGACTTGCAGCCACAGACTTGATGTGCAAACTGGGCGTGAAGTTTTCAGAAGAATGGGTTCGGACTTTGCCATTCCAGCAGAAAGAAAGCACTACTGCTGCATGGTTGATTTGCTCGCAAGAGCTGGCCATCTGGATGACGCCGAGGAATTGGTTTGTGCGATGCCATTTATTCCCTCTGCTGCAGAATGGAACGCTCTTCTAGGGGCATGCAGAAGCCAGGGCGATGGAAACGTACGGAGAGCAGAAAGAGTAGCGAAGAAAGCAATGGAGTTAAACAACGAGGCTTCCTACGTCCTTATGGGAAACATCTACTCGGGCAGCAAGAATGACCAGGTAGATATTGATATGGCTCTGGAATCTCTCAGGGAGAAAATGAGAGAACAAGGTCTAACGAGAAAGCCTGCAATAAGCGTTGTCACTGTCGGGAAGGAAACTCATAGGCTTATGGTGGACGACAAGAGTCACCCCAATATCCAAGAAATCAACGCAGAATTGGCAACGTTAACCAGACTACTTAAAAATGAAGGGTATGTTCCCAGAATTGATCTTGTATTCAGTGGGAAGGAAGAGGTTCTCGCGGAAATGGCTCTGGCCAAGCACAGCGAGAAATTGGCTTTAGCCTGTGGCATCCTTTACTCCAAGGAAGCAGCAGGGGCGCACATCAGGATTAAAAACAACCTTCGGATGTGTGGAGATTGCCATCAGATGATGTGTCTTGCTAGCAAGATTTATGATGGGAGGAAAATTACTGTGAAGGATGCTAGCCGAGTCCATTGTTTTGAACAAGGCGTTTGTTCCTGCGAGAACAACTGGTGAATCAACAAGAGAGTAAATATAAAGAAAAGATAAATAATGTTTTTTTACTTCTAATATAACAAAAAACGAATTTATTTTTGTGTTCCTAATACGATTCTATTGGGGCATGTCTCATCGTGTGGTCTCAGAGACTATCGTCCCCTTCGGTAAGCACAAAGGTAAGTCGCTCATAGATGTTGAGGAGAAGTATCTTAAATGGATGGCACAAGCATTTCCACCGACTTCCAAATGGGCGAAACTTGCAAAGCTGGCCCTAGATCATCATCGTCAAACTTCTTCAAGCAATAAACTAGGAGATGTGGTCCTCCAATTTGGGAAGCACAAAGGGAAGGCACTGAAAGAGGTTCCCAAGTCGTACTTAAGCTGGATGGCTATCAAGATGGCTGGTGAGAATGTGGGGGTTACGGCGCAAAGATTTCTTGATGGATGCAACATGGACATCATCCCTGATTTGGCTCCAGATGAGAGACAACAAATGTTCCGTTCTACTGGTTTGATCCAGAAGATGGGGTCTACTGGTGAAGTGAAACAAGCCAAAGCTTTGTTTGATGATATGCCTCGAACAGATGCAGCAGCCTGGAATGCCATGATCACTTGTTATGGCCAGAATGGATACATTGCAGAAGCAAAGGAGTGTTTTGATGCAATGCCCTGTGACAAAACCAAGTTTTCATGGTTTGCACTATTTGGGGCTTATCATCGCAAAGATTTGGTGGAGGAAGCAACTGAACTGTTTCACCAGATGCCACGGAGAGACCAAATGGTATGGATCACTCTGCTTCGGCTTCATTCACAGAAGCTTGACATGTTGAAAAAGATCTTCCAGATTATGCCGTTTCACGATTTAACGTCGTCTACTTTGATTCTGAGCGCTTATTCCAGCCACGAATACTTTGAAGAAGCTAAAAATTTGTTCGACAAAATGCCAGAAAGAGATTCGGTATCTTGGAATGCAATGCTTGCAGCATATGCCAATTCAGGGCATGGTTCTGAAGCACATGAGCTGTTCAAACTGGCCCCGCACTGGAACAGAAGCATTTGCCTTTCTATAATAAAGGTCTACGCAGAAGACTACATGCTTCAAAATGCAGAGAGCTTGTTCCACTCAATGCTGCAGTGCGACATAGTCTCATGGACCAAGTTCATGGATGTTTGTGCTCGATGTGGTGATATGGAGAAAGCAAATGAAGTCTTCAGATTAATGCCTGCCACAGACATTGTAGCATGGACAGTGATGCTGGGAGGTTATGCCGGACGGAACATGCTGAATGAAGCAAAGCTAATCTTTGAGGAAATGCCTGAGAAGGACACGCATGCCTATACTATATTCCTCATGGCCTGTGCTGAAGAAAGTGGGAATGTGAAGGAGAAGGATATGGAAGCCTTCATGGATATGGCTGAAGCGGATACAGTTGCGTGGAATTCTCTGCTTGCAGCAAATGCCAGGGATGGCCAGTTGCAACTTGTAGCGAAAGTGTTCGAGTCAATGCAGTTACAGGGCGCAAGTGCAGACAGTATTTCCTTCGTGTGCATCCTACAAGCTTGTAGTCACAATGCCAAGGTGCAATTGGGGCGCGATTTCTTCAGAAGTATGGGTTTGGATTACGGCATTGGAGCGGAAAGGAAACACTATTGCTGCATGGTTGACTTGCTTGCCAGATCTGGGCATTTGGACGATGCAGAAGAATTGATATCCAGCATGCCTTTTCATCCTTCGGCTGCGGAATGGAATGCTCTTCTAGGTGCATGCAGGAACCAGAAGAAAGAAGGCTCAGATCGAGCGGAAAGAGCAGCAAAACATCTAATGGAGCTCAGAAATGAGGCATCTTATGTGCTCTTAGGCAATGTCTATGCAAATAGGCGTGTTGACTTGGTTGACTGCAATTCCCACCCAGTCAACGTAGACATGGCTCTTGAGTCTTTGAGGGAGAGCATGAGACAACGGGGTTTTAGGAGGAAACCAGGCATAAGTACCGTCAACTTTGGTAAAGGGACATACACTTTTGTGGTTGGTGATAATCACCCTGAGATTAATGCAGAGCTTGAAAGGTTGACCGGGCTGTTAAGAGCAGCGGGTTATAAGCCAAAGACTGAAGTTTCGTTTTGTGGTGGTGATCAGAAAGAGAAAGAAGAGCTCCTTTGTCAACATAGTGAAAAACTAGCACTTGCATTTGGGCTGCTGTCCACTCAAGAAGGGGGGGATGAAATTATACGGATAACAAAGAACTTGAGAATGTGTTATGACTGCCATGATGCTACTAGGGTGATATCTGGATTGGTGAAAAGAAAGATCGTTGTGAAAGATGCTAATAGGTTGCATAGATTTGAGAATGGCATGTGCTCCTGTGGTGATTTTTGGTAATTGACAACCAGTCACTTACAGAGGCCAGTACTGTCTGAACCCAGGTTCGAACTGGGGACCTCTAGTGTGTGAGACTAGTGTGATAACCAACTACACCATCCAGACATGTACAATTAATCAATAAATAATTGTTAAAATTTTTAACAAACTTAAGTAGTTCTATAGAAGCATATTATTTGAATAAATTCATTTCTCCTACTTAACAATACTAAAATATTTGTGCACTATGCAAACCCACTTAATTTGCTTTGTAAAAGTAATATTTTATTGTTTTTGTTATTAATGCTATCTAGAATATTAAAAATATAATAGAATTGTGTATTTTTATAACTAAAAAATATTATGAAATAGATAATTTATTAAATATATCCAAGAATTTTATATATACCCTAAAATTGATAATATAATTTATTCTAAACTATTAAGTTTTTATTTCAAGCATATAATAATTCAAAAATATAAATAATTTTTAAATATAAACAACTATCCTATAATATGCAGTATGCTCTCTAAAGACCATGTTATATTAGTGATAAGTAAGAAATATTACTATTAAATTTTAATTAATAGCAAAACCATTACGAATATCTTAAAATATACTAACATAATTAACTATTTAATAGAAGTGAATTTATTTTTTCATATACAGTGATAGTAACCAAATTCTTTATATTTTTTATTAAAATAATTTTTGATTTAGAAAAATTATATAAGGAATAGAATATATAAGTATATTCTAGGATATTAATTAAATGATTGTGACTTTCCACAATTATACATTTTTACTTTTTTATAATTTTTACTTCACTTTAATAATAACAAATAAAATATATTAAACTATCCAATATTGTAGTTGTCAATCTTTTAGATCTTTATAGACCGCTAAAAAGATTTATCCACCTACATAAATTCTAAACCTTAAATTTAATTTATTAAACTTATGAAAAGAATATTATTGAGCTTTAGAATTTTACATTCAATTTTTTTCTATAATCAATGTCTGAAATTTCATTTACTGAAATATAAATAAATTCTTTCTTTGGCATAATACCAAAATAAATCCATCTTTAATAAGAAAATAATGTAATTTTTATAATAATTTTTACATTTAATATAAATATTTACTTTAATAAAAATTATATATTTTTTATAGTTTAAATAATTAATAGGTTAAGGTATTTTAAGTTATATAAAAATGATTAAATTTTTATTAGAGATTGTTTTTCTTAATACATAATTTTAAGATTAAATTTACTTTATATGTATAATAATTTTTATATTATATGCAAAAATGATTGGTTTACTTTCAAAACTAAAATGGGAGTATAACAAAAACCTTAGATAAGCAAACAAGCAAATAAAAATTACAAATAAATGAAATTCATAAATGACATGCAGAAGGGTATAGAGATAACAAACAAAAAAATGAATGCAATAGTTGTAAAATAAAACAAAAACCTCATATTATATTATTGTCAAATAAACATAGAGAAAATAAATCTAAATAGTGTTTAATGAAAAGCACTTTAACCAAATATTATTGTGCCATAGTTCAAAATGTTTTATAATTTAAAAGAAACTAAAAGATATGAGTGTCTCCCTCTAATTTAAAGTATAGTATTACAAGTAATTTCATAATTAAAACGTCCAAAATTACTAAAAAAGAAAAAGAAAAGAAAATGTGCATCTACCACCAATTAATTTACTATATTAGAAAAATTAACAGAGAAATTTTAAAAGCGAAAAATCACAATTGTTAGATTGACATATATCCTAGAATATACCTAGAGATTTTTAATATATTCCCAAAAATAAAATACTAACTGTGAGGGCCAAGTGTACGGCTACGATGCCGTATACTAATATTAACGTAATGGGATTTTAGTAGCCGTCGGATTAGTTTCAATCTGGACCATTCGCTCTTGTATAAGTTAGAGTTTTTGGGTTAATTGATATGCACATTTCTATATTCTTTTTTTATATTCCATACATTCACATAATGAAAAGCTTAAATAAACACATTTTTCTAAAATAAAACTCCAGTAAAAATGTTATTAAAAAGGAAGAACCCGACCGTTATAGCAAACCCTGATCTTAGGGTTCATCCGAGCAGTGGATCCGCGACGATGAGCAGTGGGCGCGGCAGCTACTTCCCGAAATGCAGGAAGGACGCGCAATGCAAGTGCTCGATGTGTGTGGATAGCTTGAATGCTACTCGAGATCTTCGCCCCAGCGGCTCCTCTTCTAGGCGAGGAATGCTTGGGCCTCTCAGAAATGCCCTCAGCAGAGCATTTGGATCCCCTCTTCCTTCACCTGGAGATCAAAGGTTTAGTAACCCCTCTCTCTTCGATTTCTCCTCTCCGAGTGTTTCTTCCACGGCGCGCGGCGGCTCCGCGGTCCTGGAGCCAGTCTTTGAAGAGATTGCGGCAGAGAAATCGGTGGCCTCCTCGAAGAGGGATTCCTTCCCCAGATCTAGACGGAGATGGCTCCTCTGGGTGTTAGCGGTGGCCACGGCAGTGACGATCTTCGCAGAAATCGTTGCGCCGGTGATCCTGGCTCGCCAATTTCGAGCCCATCTCAGCCCTGGAGCAGTGATCGAAATGGCCACCGCGTCGAGAGCTAGAATCAGGCCCGCGGACAGGATAGAATTCCTCCAGCACAGGATCCAGCGCGTGTTTCGTGGCAAGGAGATCTCCAATTGCACAGGGAGCTCCACGAAGTGGACGCTTGCCGAGGTAGACCTCCCTCCTCTCCTTTTGGAAAACTCTTTTGATCTGCGATGCTTCCACAGGATGGAGCATTGATCCACTCGAGATGCCGCCTCTACTCGTCCCCCGCGGAAGAGCTCTCCATCTGGGGGTACCCGATCGTCACAGCCGGTGTTCTTGGCAGGAGACCCGCGGATCGTTTGATGTTTGTTCTTGCCGGCCGAGTGATCGAGGTACTGCTTTGCTTCCTTTCCTTCTTTTATGATCGATCCATGGTTTTCTCATGCCAGTGGAAGGAGGGACAACTTGACTACACGATCCACGAAGAAGGCGAGTGGTGGAACCACCATCGCTGGGCAGCCTCGGTGATCCATCTCGACAACAACACTTGGATCGCGCAGTACAGCGCTGGAAGCATTGATGCGTGGAGTTTTCTTGCGGGCGCTGGTTACATGACAAAGAGGATCGTCAATTCCTGTTTAAAGTATCGCTTCACATTTCCTTCCACTGTATTGACAATTCCAACGTAGAAGATTTTACACCCTTGTAAAGTTGACGTTAAGTTCTCTTATCAAATCTCGTTTCATATCAATATCAATATATGAACAATATCAATATCAATGTTTCTATCCCTGCTTCTTGCTCCAGTGCTTGAGTTATGTCCTTCGCTCCAGCAATTCTCTGGAGCAAATCACCCACAAGATTTCATCGCTTGTAGAAAGAAAGAAATTTAATGTCCTAGCTTAGGAGAAGTTTAGGGCAAATGCAAAAAATGAACGAAACTTAAAAAAGAAAATGGCTGATTAAGTTTAACAGTTACACTTAGAAAATAAAAAACATTTCATACTTAAATTAAAATATACAATCTAGAACATAGTCTCGGATTCTAATTTCTTCACTACAAATCTGGGAGGTGAAGCTTCTCCTCGATAGGACCAAAGAGATTGAGTCGAAAATGTTTTGTGACACAAATAGAAACATGGTTGCCTTGTTTTAATCTCGTTTTAGAACTTCAAGTTTTTCCATAGAAACTTTCGGACTATCAATTCAACAGCCTGATCTCCTCTGGCGGCGATGCCATTCGTGCCCGACGATGTGGCGCTGGGGGCGTGCTGGACGCAGAGTGATGTGAGGTGAGGGGAGAGTGTGGGGGTTTGGTGCTGGAGCCCATCCAGGTAATTGACGAAAACAGCAACACTCCTGTCTCCAATCTATCATGCTAAAAGAAATCAAACCTCACTTTTAGCTTGCTCAGCCCATCCACGTGGACAGCCAAATCACTTTTAAGTATATGTGAAGTGCACTTCAAAACAATGTTCAAATGTCAAGAAACTGATTCCAGTTTGGTCATAAAGTAATGTCCTTCCTGAATCATATACATAGTAGATATGTAATTGTGACAGTAGAGAGACAAAACTGTGGTCAAGGTTCAAGAAGTGTAGTTTTTTAACGGCTATCCATTGTAGCTTTTATTTCTCTCGCACTCTTCAGGTTCACTCGCACTCTTCAGGTTCACAATGCTTTTTCCTATCTTCTTCTGCCTTCTTGCTTGCTTACAATGGTGGAGCAAGCTATGGTGGCTCAGGATCATGCTCCCCTTGGAGAAGTTAATTTTTTAGTGCTCTTCCTTCCATTCTCAAAAGCGAGTTGTAAAAATCTGGCTTCAATGCTAGAAACTGCTAGAATTTGTGTTAACATTGTCTAGATTCTTGAGTCTTGATTCACCTTTCTATTGCACGGTTATGCTGGTGTAAGACTTTTATAAAAAGTTTTCTTTCCAGTAAATCCACTCCTGCCAGCTCTAAGTCTGGCAATTTGAATCAGCCCTGCAAACAATCCCCAATCTCTTGTAAATGTCATAGGAATATCATCAAAAAAAGATATCGACATTGAAGCCATTGCAACTATTATCCTACCATAGAGCCAACCTTGCTTGGTAAAACCAAAATGTTTATTATGGGAATCACAGCCCAGTCCTTCAGGTTGGACTCAACTTGTTATTGCTATCGCACTAGCTCATCTCTTAGCTGCGCAGCTATAAGATGAGTTGATGTTCCTGCAAAGTGCCACGTAACAGAACATTATAATTTCTTACAGTCTGCCTTAAAAAACAGCTGATGCAAAAAGAGAGGATGTCCGTCTACATGTGTGCTACTGCTCTAGCACTCAACAGATCACTGCAATTTCTACATTGAAGCCCTGAATAAAAAGTCAATCTAAGATCAACATATTGTAAGGAAGGCCGCTCCTGTATCCTTTCTCTTCATTGCTTCATTTGAATGCCAAGCCAAGGGAGAACTAGCAGGTCCAATTCAGATGAAAGCTGTAAAAGAAAGATCAAGTGTGGCATCTAAAAAAGCTTTCCATGCAGTAGAAGGAATCCACCATACTAACCTGCAGTGCATTGGGCGTCATTGATGAAGGAGATTGCAATTGATGAGATTTTTAATGCGTTCAGCTTGGTAACATAGCAAACATCACACCATATATATAAAAAGAGAATAGAGGACGCCAGTGCTTATTTAGATATTACTCGCAACTTTCATGTTGCAGGTGTCTAGCACATTAGATGGAATATTTAGTTGCATCTCCCATAGCCGCGCTGGCAGCCCGCGCCACAGTACTCAGATGTCGATCCGCAGTAGCCAAACTGGCTGCAGCACAGGCCCGAGTTGCAGCGGCGTCCTCTACCCTGACGACCGCAACAGGGACCGCTTGTACCACATTGAGCTTCCACCACATTGGCGTGCTCCACCATTGCAACAACGAGCATGCACAAGAAGAAAGCAGCGAAAGCACGAAGGGACGCCATTGCAAACAGTAGCACTTTAACTATGGATAGAGCTGAGCAGTGTTTGATTGAATGGAGAGGCGGGGCGCATTTATATAGCGGGGGGGTTGCAAGCAAAGTCCATCACAACTTTTGAAAACCTAGAGTGCAGTTTTGTTCGCATCGCAATTACATATTTGCTAAAAGACTTTAGCTCCATGATCTACCAGTTTCTGGAAAGACTTTGGCTCCATGATCTACCAGTCTCTCGATTTCGCCCATAGATTGAATTTTGGAGGAAGGTGACACAGTGTACACAGGTCTGCGGCCAAACCCGACCATGACACATTTGCATTTGAAGTGTGACACAAGACCTTATCGCTTGACCATTGAGCGAAGTTTCGTAAGAAGCATGCGGGTTGAATCTTGTGAAGGACATTAACCAAATCAGTAAACTCAAGTTCAGATTGTTTTGAAAACCACGAAGACCATGCTCCTTCCTAATGTAGGGACATGGCACAATATTCAGCCAGCTATCTTCAAAAGACTGCATGTAAATAAAGCATCATTAGACAGGGTGCGAGGCGTGCAATGGAAATGCAGCTCGCTTGTAAGTTTGTGGTTGGTTTATACTATGCATTGTTGGGGAGAAACCAAAATAGGTTGAAGCAAAATCTCAGGCAGCAGTAACAGCTACTCGGGCAGCTAAAGCAGCGCAAGCCCACACACCAGCTGCGGAATCAGTTAACTCTGAGACAGAAGTTGATAGAAGGGAGCAGCAACCCACAGGAGGGAACGCTTTGATGAAAAAAAATCACCATCTTGCCAACTGTTGAGATTGCTAAAAAGCTCGAGCTGATCTAGACGTGTATCAGACGCAAAGCTTTGGGGAGGCTAAACGAGGAGCATCGAAAGATGAAGGCTGAGGCGGAAAAGAAGTCGAGGAGAACCGATGAGAGAGCACAGTTGGACAGGCCGGTTGCCGTGGAGCCGCGCTCCAGAGGTTGACGGATCAAATGGACACCACATGCGACGAGGAGGAGCATCGATGTTGAGGAGCCTATTCATACTCAAGAACCGAGGCCAGTCTTAGGTAATTCTTGACTTTGCTTTCCGTTTGCTCTGACTTATCTAATTCTATCGCATACGCTCCAATGACGGGGGACTTCTGGCTAAACGATGAGGGGCAACAGGAACATATCTTCTAGGCAGCGTCAAGTGTGCAAGGCTGTTACTTGCAAGGCTCAAAGATTCACGCCCTGTTGATCGGATATATCCATTCGTTTGGGCGGAATTATAATACAAGTACTCGTACTCATCAAGAGGGGTCCGAGTTGAAGCAAGTTCATGTTTTTATATTTTTGTAGCATTAACTAGATACCTTGGTGATGTCTCTGCCGTGCGTGAACGACTCTGAACGTCTTTCCCGGAGAACTCATACAACAAATGTCCACGAGAACTCAGACAACAAATGTCCACTTCGGAGTTTACAGTGATAGACGACCGTTTTTACATGGAGGTTTGTAAATGTAAGTCCACTTATCAAGCGGTTCGTGATGGCCAGAGCTCCTTGGCAGTTTGGTTTCATGGAACCCTGAGGATTGGGCACATGGTGGAAAATCACAGTTTTGGATCAGCGTGTTGTAAGTCTTCTCTGGAATGAAGAGTGACTGCAGTAAAATTCAACATCGCCTCACATGTCATGAGCAGGATCAGTCCATGCATTCCCGAACTGCAGTATAAAAGGTTCTCTTTTGTGTTGTCCATTTCACACTATCTTACTGAGAATCCTTTCAGGTTGATGATGTTCTTACCATCAATGTGGTCCAAAATTTTCATAAGTGACCTGCTTATGGCTTGATCACGGTGACTTGGTAGCATATCTTACCAGAGCAGCTCTCCCCCACCAATTCCTTGAGTACTCCGGAAAGTTTTTAAACCACTCAAGCAGGAATTCGAGACTATTAGAGGCTACACAAGAATTCTCATAAGGAAAGAAAGTCAATTTTCACTTAAATGCTATTATTAATCATCCCAAATCAGAGGTGATGTTGGTGTAAGGGAAACCAGTGCTATGAGGAGACTTGCTTATAAAAATCTTCAAATGTATAATAGGCACATACATCCGTTAACGTGTCCGTTAACGGACACGTGGAAGAATGTTTGACCAACTTGTGTCATTATTTTGTGTTTGGGTTCAAAGCTTAAATTTTATACCATATGAGTTGGTGAAGTATCTATATTTTTACGTTAGACCATCAATTTTATTTGGCTCTATTTTGCTTATTAGTTTTAGGCATATTTATATAGTTTTTTCATTGACATGTCAGTTCCACTGTTGCATTTAATCTATGGTATTGGATTATATTGAGTTGTAGACATGAATATTCACTCTTTATTAATGTGTAGCTAGGTATTACTGAAGGATTAATTTCAAATACTAAATATAGTACTTTTGACTTTGGTTATTTTGGTGTTGAGTAGTGATTCATTCTTATTTTTCTTTAGTTTTGTTTTAGTGTTGATGATATTAAAGTAATGTTTTATGAAATATTTCTCCATGGATAAATTTTCCATCTGTGATGATTTAAATGGTTGGTGATCAATTGCTTTCTTTAGATATCAACATTTAGTTTTACTAGTATTGATAAAGATGATATTGATGATTTGGCTATACATTTGTGTTATTAATATTTGTGCATTTTGCTCGTTTACAATTAATTATATTGATGTTCAAATGAGTTGAGTGGCAAGTTGGGGTAATTGTTGTTGGATCTGATTTGAGGGTATTGATCATTGATGATTTTGATTGCCCTTGATATTAACAAATGGATTCATATATGATCAATTTGGTGATTATTTATTAAGTATAATTTTATCATATTTAAGCCATAATATTCTTAATTTGATCCACTCCGACATATTTGGCTCTGCACAAAGCAAAAAACTTTGGAAACAAACACCAAATTGCATCACTAACTCAGATAACCCTTAATAAAGATAATGCAATTATTAGAAGATATCATTATAATCATTAGTATATTCAAATACACACTTGAAGACATATGAGAGAATGCTTTAACCTACATGAGTGGTTGCACTTAAATTATTATACCATCCCAATGCCATCATTTGGAAGCACATGGGAAATTCATGTAAATATTGAGCATCATCCAAAAAATGATAGATAATAATCATTGTAAAGTGATCAAATCAATAAAAACATTTTAGTGAACAAAAAGTTTGGCAACAAGAGTAAGAAGAGTTTTACCACATGTTGTAAATGCTATCATTAATTAAATTTGATGATTTAACTACAACTACATAGCATTGAATAATTGCATTTACTGTTACTTCAAAAAGTACTATTTTGCCATGAAGATGAACAAAAAAGAAAAAAAAAACAAAATAGAAGAAATTGAAGTGCTGGCAGTGATGCCATTCGTGCCGGATGATGTGGCACTAGGGACGCTAGTGGGGCGTGCTAGATGCAGAGTGATGTGAGGCAAGGGGAGAGTGTGGGGGGTCTGGTGCTGGAGATGGAGCAGCGCAGCCCATCCAGGTAATTGACGAAAACAGCAGCACTCCTGTCTCCAATCTATCACGTTTGTTTGAAGTTTTTGCAATGGCATCCTTCCGAGCTTTTGCTGCTCTCTTCTTGTGTGTGCTCGTAGTTGCAATGGTGGAGCATGCCACTGTGGTGGTGCAAGCTCAAGGATCCTGTGCAAGTGGGCCTTGTTGCAGTGCTCAGGGTGGTGGACGCGTCTGGCCTGTGCTGCAGCCAGTTTGGTTTCTGTGGATCTTCAAACAATCACTGTGGTTTGGGATGCTAGAGGGGATATGGCAGCAGCAGCTAGAGCTAAAACACAACACCAGATGCTGCTGCAATCTCCTGTTGCAAATCGCAGCTGAATAAGTTGTTTCGCTTTACAATAATTAATGTAAGTGTGGTTGAAAGTTCTATGCTGGAACTCTGAGATTTTCAGCAAGGAAATTGGATGACTAGTCTTGACCAAGTTGCCGTGCTCGCAAGAGAAGTGAACGTTTCAGGTGCGCTAGGAAATCTTTCCATTTGGCTACTTTGACTAGTGGTCAATGATAATTGGATGGAAACGCCAACCAGGTCTTGATCAAGTCCCAAGAAACTGCAGTCAAGGATTATCGGTGGCCTGTGGCTCCTCGAAGAGGGTTTCCTTCTTCTCTAGACGTCCTCTAGTGGTGATCTTTGTATCGTTGCCTAGCGCACCAAATTCGAGCCTATCTCAGCCATGGAGCAGTGCTTGAAATGCCAACGAGTCTAGAGCTAGTGGACTCACGCCAAAGTAGATCTCATCTGCGATATGGTTCCATAGGATGGAGCATTGATCATTAGAAATGCCCCATGTACTTGTGCACGGCTCTCCATCTGGGCTCTGTCACCGCCAGTGTTCTTGGCACAGATCGTTTGATGTTTGTTCTTGCCAGCTGAGTACCTTACTGTGTTATATCTTTCCTTGTTTTTATGACTTGGAAGGAGGGACAATAGGATCCATGAAGAAAGCAAGTGGTGGAACCACTATCGCTAGTGATCTATATCCAGAAAACCTTAGATCATACAAGGTCCTGAATTCTTTGCAAACCGTTTTCATTTAAAATGGTAAATAAATAAAATTAATGTTTGAAAGTAGAAGTTTTAGTGTTATATTAAAACACTAAATAATTAAATAATTTTTTAAATATTCTTTTAAAATTAAAAATTATAATATGTATATGTTTATTTAATGTTGAAAGAAGCATTTTCACATAAATATTTTACTTTAAACATTAGTATAATACACATGAATTTGTCATAACAAAGATTGTTAAAATATGTGATAAACTAAGTACTATTGGAGTGTGTGGCCAATTAAAGTGGTGGTGGAACAATCAATGAAGAGGAATAAAATAAAATATGCCAATGTAAATAGAAACAAATAAATAAATATAGGTTATTTAATAATAAATATAACAACAAAAAATAATTTTAAAATTTTCAATAATTTTCTTTATATTATGATTGATTAATCAAAATATAAGTATTATCTATATCTTACAAATTTTTATTTTATACAAAAATTCCTTATAAAACCTTTATTAAAAGACATTTAACCTTATCTTTTTTATATTATTTTATTTTATATAAGTAATAGTAATATGTTTTTAATTAAGTCCAACTGTATTATTTTTCTATCTTTTAGACCATATTTGTGCTTGTTTTTTAATACTAAATTAAAATAAAATAAAATCTAATAATATTTTATAAACTTCACAATATAAAAGAACTAAATTTGAATGCAAAAGCTTTATTCTAAATTAAAACATTAAATATATAAATATTCATTCGTTCAAATAATCATATATACTATATATAAAATATAAATATTTTGTTTCTTAAATGTTGAAATTAAAATAATTATTTTAACATAAATATATATTAAATATTACGATTCTCTCTTTAGGGCTTGACCATGTTGGCTAGAAGTGAGAGCCACGAAGACGAGCTATCCCCATCTATACGGAGGAGATCCCTGGCCACCACCACTCCCCGCGCGACATCCTCGTGAGTCCTACACGCCGCCATCAAGCTCACCCTGGCCGCGGCGTCGCCCGGGAAGGGCATCGCCTTGAGCAGCTCCTGGGCGTCGCCCAATCGCCCGCACCGCGCCAGGACGTCGATCACACTGCTGTAGTGATCGTGGCTCGGGGAGTCGATCGTCCCGGCGAAATCGCCGCTCGCGATCGACGCGAAGCAGCAGCACGCGGCGCGCGAATCGCCGCCGTGGCTCAGCGCCGCCAGCACGCTCTTGATCGTCGTGGCGTCCGCGGCCACGCCCTCGAGCAGCATCTCCTGGAAGAGATCTAGCGCAGCGGCGCCGCCTGGCCGCCGCCCATACGCCGCCACCATCGCATTCCACGACGCGGGATCCTTCTCGGGCATGGCGTCGAAGAACACCCTCGCGCGATCAATGTGGCCGGATTGGGAGAAGATCGCGACGGCGGCGGTGAGGGTGATGAGATCCCAGGCGGGCATCCGGTGGAGGAGGAGATCCGAACTCTCGAAGCTCTGGGCGCTGGCGGCGAGCATCGCGTTCCAGGAGGCGATGTTCTTCCCGGGCATCGCGACAAAGATCTTGCGCGCGGCGGCGGCGGAGTCTCGCGCATGTGCTCGCAGCAGCGCTGTCCACGACACGATGCTCCACTGCGGCATCTTGTGGAAGATGGCAGTGGCGGCGCCAAGGTGGCCGGAGTCGCCATAGCCGCCCACCATCGCCGTCCACGCCGCCACGCTCCGGATCTCCGCGAGGGAATCGAATGCGTTCTTGGCGGCCTCGAGCTGGCTGATTTGGATGTGTTTTTGCAGCGTTGCGAGGTTGGAGACGCTGTTCCAGGCGGGCATTTTATCGCGGATCGCTAGAAACTCTTGGTTTTCTTCTCTAGAGGCATTTGCTTGGAGAAGGCACGTCCAGCTCACAATGTCTCGGTTGGTCATCTCGTCAAAAAGGCATCTTGCGTCATTAACAAGGCCTCGGTCTCCTAGAGCGGCTAGAACAGTGTTGCAGGACACGGAGTCTTTAACCGGCATCTTAGAGAACAAATCCTTCATTTTTTGCAGATGCCCGTGCACGGCATATGCTGCAAGCATGGCATTCCATGACACTTGATCGTACATGGGCATTCTTTGATAGATTAGCCCAACTTGTGAGAAGCAGTCTCTTGTTATCATGGTGTTCCAGGAAACGAGACTTTCAGGGCATCACATAAAAAATCTCCTGGGCTTTAAGTGTTTGCCCGCACTTGGCATATGCTAGGAGGAGAATGTTACACAAGATTGCGTTCCACTGCGGCGAGGCGTTGAACATTTCTATGAGATTTTCGAGGTAACCATTGTCTCCGTACATTTTAAGCATGACGCCCCACGTCACGGCGTTCTTTTGTTGCATATCATCAAAAGAAGACTTTGCCAGAGAAAAATGCCCATTATGGGCATAAGTTACTAGCAGAAAATTCCTCGACTTTAGCATAACCCTAAACCCTTCCACGTATAATTTCAGTTTCTTTGATGTTTCTCGAGGTACTCCTTCCTATGATCGATCCAGTAAAAGGAGGGACAAAGTTGACTATATGATCCACAAGGACGGAAAAAAAAAACCTGGATCAGCGGCAGAAGCTAGTTTTCTCGCGGGCACTGGCTACATGGCAAAACTGTTTTGACAATTCCAACGCTACGCAGGTTGACGCTAAGATAAATCTCGTAGATTTTTCTATCACAACTAACTTGGTGTTGTTCACTTTAGGCTATTGTTAAGAAAAGTCTTCATCTCGGGTCATTAATTGTTGCGTTTGGAAGTTTGCTTGCAGCATTGGCAACACTTGGAGACACAATGTTCCATGCTGGTATCCTTTTGCTAGAGAGGCATAACACCCGGGTTGTTGCAAATTATTCTGTAGGTCCAATTACAACTCTCCACATGCCCATCCCACTGCTGCTAGTGTGCCAGGAAATGCGGCAAGGTCACCAGTCTCAAGAGCCTGATAGCAATTCCGATGGACAGGAAAGAAAGATTCTTTAGAAAGATTCTGCTTGTAAAGATTCTTTAGAAAGTTTAAGTTATTGTATGAATATTTTATTATTTTTGTTGTTAATGTTATTATTAATATAGCAGTATTAGTTATTTTCATGACTAACAAGTTAGATTTTAGTAATTATATTCATTTTTAAATAAGAACATTTTACATATATAATAGCCTAAAAATGATAATATAATGTTTCTGTAAAGTCTAAGTGTACAAATACAATGCCATATGTTAATATTAGCGTAGTAAGATCTTGATCTTTTGGTTTTTTTGTATTCTTTTTCCATACTCCACTCACATTGGTGGAGGTGAGTGCTTTGATTTTGAATTTTGGTTTAAATTTGGTTTTTACATTTTTTTAAAATTTCACTTTCTTTATAGTTTTTTCAATTTCTTTTATTTGTTTTTTTTTTCCCTTTTTGTTCATCTTTATCGCAAAGCAATAGTTTCCTCCTTTTTCGACTCTAGAGCAATAATTAGTGGAATTATTTGATGCTATATAGTTGTAGTTAAACCATTAAACTTAATTAATGATAACATTTACAACACATCGTAAAACTCTTTTTACTCTTATTGCCAATCCTTGTGTCCACCAAGATTTTTTTTATAGGAACTCTAGGGATGGTATGTACTATTGATTTGATCACTTTACAATGATTACTATCTATCATTTTTTGGATAATGCTCGGCATTTACATGAGTTTCCCATGTGCTTCCAAAAGATAGCATTGTTGTGTTACAATAGTTTAAATGCAGCCACTCATGCAGATTGAAGCATTCTCTCATATATCTTCAAGTGCATATTTGAACATGCTAATGATTATAATAATATCTTTTAATATTTATCAAGGAGTGATGTAATTTGGTGTTTGCTTCTAAAAGCCTCTTGCTTTGTGCAAAGCCAAATATATTGGAGCAGATTAAATTGAAAATATTATGCCTAAATATGTAATCACAAAATTGATCTTATATGAATCCATCTATTAATATCAAGGGCAATCAGAATCATTAATGATCCATACCCTCAAATCAAATTCAACAATAGTTACCTCAACTTGCCACTCAACTCATTTCAACATTAATATAGTTCACAAATGCATATCCAAATCATCAATATCATCTTCATCAATACTAGCAAAACTAAATGTCAATATCTAAAGAAAGCAATTGATCACTAAACATTTAAATCATCACAGATGGAAAATTTAACTTTCTTAATATATCCATGGAGAAATATTTCATAAAACATTACTTTAATATCATCAACATTAAAACAAAGCTAAAGAAAAATAAGAGTGAATCACTACTCAACACTAAGATAACCAAAGTTGAAAGTACTATATTTAGTATCTGAAACTAATCTTTCAGTAAGCTCCACGTAATAAAGAGTGAATATTCATGTCTACAACTCAATGTAATCCAATACCATAAATTAAATGCAACAATGGAACTGACATGACAATATGAAAAAACTATATAAATATGCCTAAAACTAATATGCAAAATAGAGCCAAATAAAATTGATGGTTTAACATAAAAATATAAATACTTCACCAACTCATATAGTATAAAGCTTAAGCTTTGAAACCAAACACAAAATAACAACAAACACACTCCCACATAATGTCTCAAGTTAGTCAAATATACTTAATTTACCCATTATCCCTATTATACATTTGAAGTTATAAGCAAGTCTCCTCATAGCACTAGTTTCCCTTACACCAACATCACCTCCGATTTGGGATGATTAATAATAGCATTTAAGTGAAAATTAACTTTCTATCCTTATGAGAATTCTTGTGTAGCCTCCAATAGTCTCCAATTCCTGCTTGAGTGGTTTAGAAACTTTCCAGAGTACTCAAGGAATGAGTTGTACTTGTTGGGGTGAGCTGCTCTGGTAAGTTATGCTACCAAGTCACTGTGATCAAGCCATAAGCAGGTCACTAATGAAAATTCTGGACCACATTGCCCATGGTAAGAACATCATCAACCTGAAAGGATTCTCAGTAAGATATTGTGAAATGGACAACACAAAAGAGCACCTTTTATACCGCAGTTCGGGAATGCATGGACTGATCGTGCTCATGACATGTGAGGCGATGTTGAATTTTACTGCAGTCACTCTTCATTCCAGAGAAGACTTACAACACACTGATCCAAAACTGTGATTTTTCCACCATGCGCCCAATCCTCAGGGTTCCATGAAACCAAACTGTCAAGGAGCTTTGGCCATCACGAACCGCTTGATAAGTGGACTTACATTTACAAACCTCCATGTAAAAATCTATCACTGTAAACTCCGAAGTGGACATTTATTGACTGAGTTCTCGTGGACATTTGTTGTATGAGTTCTCCGGGAAAGACGTTCAGAGTCGTTCACGCACGACAGAGACATCACCAAGGCATCTAGTTAATGCTACAAAAATATAAAAACATACCTTTGATATGAACTTGCTTCAACTCGGACCCCTCTTGATGAGTACGAGTACTTGTATTATAATTCCGCCCAAACGAATGGATATATCCGATCAACAGGGCGTGAATCTTTGAGCCTTGCAAGTAACAGCCTTGCACACTTGACGCTGCCTAGAAGATATGTTCGTGTTGCCCCTCATCGTTTAGCCAGAAGTCGCCCGTCATTGGAGCGTATGCTAGAAAATCCTCTGAAACATGATAGAATTAGATAAGCCAGAGCAAACGGAAAGCAAAGTCAAGAATTACCTAAGAGTGGCCTCGGTTCTTGAGTATGAATAGGCTCCTCAACATCGATGCTCCTCCTCGTCGCATGTGGTGTCCATTTGATCCGTCAACCTCTGGCGCGGCTCCACGGCAACCGACCTCTCCAACTGTGCTCTCTCATCGGTTCTCCTCGACTTCTCTTCCGCCTCAGCCTTCATCTTTCGACGTTCCTCGTTTAGCCTCCCCAAAGCTTTGCGTCTGATACACGTCTAGATCAGCTCGAGCCTTTTAGCAATCTCAACAGAGCCTCGAAGGCTGGCAAGAAGATAATGTTGGTGATTTTTTTTCATCAAAGCGTTCCCTCCTGTGGGTTGCTGCTCCCTTCTATCAACTTCTGTCTCAGAGTTGACTGATTCCGCAGCTGGTGTGTGGGCTTGCGCTGCTTTAGCTGCCCGAGTACCTGTTACTGCTACCTGCGATTTTGCTTCAACCTATTTTGGTTTCTCCCCAACAATGCATAGTATAAACCAACCACAAACTTACAAGCGAGCGGCATTTCCATTGCACAGAAGACTGCCTCGCACCCTGTCTAATGATGCTTTATTTAAATGCAGTCTTTTGAAGATAGCTGGCTGAATATTGTGCCATGTCCCTACATTAGGAAGGAGCATGGTCTTCGTGGTTTTCAAAACAATCTGAACTTGAGTTTACTGATTTGGTTAATGTCCTTCACAGGATTCAACCCGCGTGTCCTTACGGAGCTTCGGTCAATGGTCAAGCGATGAGGTCACAAGTGTCACACTTCAAATGCAAATATGTCATGGCCACAGACCTGATAGCGACACGGTGTCGCCTTCCTCCAGATTTTCGTCTTGTGGTGCGAAAAATTCAATAGGGTTTGTCGCCCTATGGGCGAAATCGAGAGACTGGTAGATCATGGAGCCAAAGTCTTTCCAGAAACTGGTAGATCATGGAGCTAAAGTCTTTTAGCAAATATGTAATTGCGATGCGAACAAAACTGCGCTCTAGGTTTTCAAAAGATGTGATGGACTTTGCTTGCAACCCCCCCGCTATATAAATGCGCCCCGCCTCTCCATTCAATCAAACACTGCTCAGCTCTATCCATAGTTAAAGTGCTACTGTTTGCAATGGCGTCCCTTCGTGCTTTCGCTGCTTTCTTCTTGTGCATGCTCGTTGTTGCAATGGTGGAGCACGCCAATGTGGTGGAAGCTCAATGTGATACAAGCGGTCCCTGTTGCGGTCGTCAGGGTAGAGGACGCCGCTGCAACTCGGGCCTGTGCTGCAGCCAGTTTGGCTACTGCGGATCGACATCTGAGTACTGTGGCGCGGGCTGCCAGCGCGGCTATGGGAGATGCAACTAAATATTCCATCTAATGTGCTAGACACCTGCAACATGAAAGT